AGGAAAAACTCACTCAAACCCCGCTCTCTCACTCGGAACAAGCTAGGCGCACGAACTGTTTTTTTACGGTAGACATAATTCATCAAGGCCTACAAGATGCGCAAAACTCGACTAAAAATCGCTCCAACACCTGGGAATGTTCCCTCGTCAGTTTTTTTATTCCGTAAAAGTATGAAATTTTGTAATAACTAAGTAATGAAAAAATGATTAAAACTAACATTATGAAGACATTTATTTTACTAGAAATTCTATATTTCATATAGTCTCAGTCTGCCGACTACTTAAAAAGCAATATTTAAATTCTTCAATGAATTCAAGCTCGCACAATCTTTGTCGACATGAATATATCAATGTTAGACTGAGAAACTTGCGACAAAGTTAAACATGAAGATAGATCATCAGTACAGCTTGTTTACAGGCAACGCCTTCATCCATTTTTTTTAGCTTCAGATTGTCATAATTCAATTTCATTTTACTGAATTCTAACGACTGTATGAAAATAGTAAGTTGTTGTAACACACTCATTCAACAAGACCCCTTTTATTAAAGTGATTCAAAACAACTCATACTTTTCGAAAGTTTCTCACTCTGCACGAAATGTTTGAATTTGCGTTTGTAGTTGAGATAATAAACCGTACGAAGGTCAAATATTTTCTATGGAAGTTTGTTTCTATCAAGAATTGCAATCACAACAATACGGTAACGCACTCATTGCTCTTTTTTTTTTTTAACTCTCGAGCAATTGACATTTTTCCAACCTTGACAAAAGACACCAGGTGACCCACTGACGTCAAAATGTAGCTCAAACTTAAACGATACGATTGTTATTTCTATTCTTTTAAGTGATAAAGCACCGTTTGAAACATGATAAAACACAATAGGATTCTGTTTTCATCATTTTTGCTTTCGACTACCATTTATTATCGTCGTTATTCAAAATAAATGACATCTATCGATAGAGAACATACGAAAATCCAAGGAAAATTTTCGAATTAAAAATGAGCTGATACTACCTCTAATGAATTTCAAAACACGTTTTTATGATGATCATCGTCGTCATCATAAAAGTCCTAGATATGCCATTGGATAGATTCTACAAAATGTTCAGTAAAAAACGAATTATGATTAGTTTCACTGCCTATGATTATGATTGCCTTATATTATTATATTTGTTTTGTGATTCGATACAAAATAGTCTTTGAATTTAATTTAAAACATATATCTGTTCAAGAATTCTTCTGCTTTTATTATTTTATTTAATAGATTATCAAACATTAAAAGAAAATAAAAGTAATAAATACAATGCAAATAAATTCAATATAAACTAGAAAACAAAAAGAGTACAACTATTGAAAGTTATATCTTAAATAACATAAAACTAAATTCATTATATTGGAAGAAATATTGAAATGAAATATATAGAGATCTATTCTGGCTTACTGATAACTATCAATACACACCAATATAAATATATATATATGTATAGATGAAAGACGAGAAAAATCAAAGAAAAAAATAATTAATTAATTAATCATTTATCAAATGTAAACGTTTAATACGCATTTGAAATACAACATATTGTCGATGATAATGTCGGGCTAATTGTAAGGCTTGTTGTGCATCATTTTTTCTAGCCAGACGTGTAAAATAAGATCCAATATAATCATCATTATCAACATTTATTGTTTTTATTTGCATAATTGATGAACGATTTTGTTCAAGTAATGCCATACAAAGAAATATTGTAAACATATCTGAATAATCATTTTCATTATCGATAGAAGAAAAATTTGTTAACCATTTTTCTAATGGTATACATGATGTTATAGAAAAATTTTCTTGTTTAGAATAATTTATATTGAAATCAAATACTGGTAAAGTTTGTTCATCACGATAACCAGAATCACAACCATCAATACTTGAATGTTCAGATAGAATTTCTTCAGGTATTGATGAACATGAACGTGATGATAATATTGTATTTGTTATTGATGACATTGTTGATAAATGACGACGTGTAAATATTGATGTTGGAGAAAGATCATCAATATATGCATAGGGATTATTATTATTATTATTTAATTCAAATCGATCAATTGGTAATGATGCCCATAATGTTTCAAATACACGAAATATATCTTTGAATGGAAATTCACGTTTACAATCTAATAATAACCAACGATAAGCAAACATCAAATTACCTAAAATGAGTAACATGTATATGTATGTAAATCTTCTTAGAAAAAAAAAAAGATTAATTACAAACCAGTATTATCACATTGTTTTATTGTATGCCATAATTCCAAATCAATAGCTTGAATAGTTTTTCTTAATAAATCTAACCGACGATTTATTGCAATACCATCCGAATGAAATAATGGACTCATATAACGCATTAATGCAGAAAAACAAGCATAAACTAATGGTTCATCACGTATGACATAGAAAATAGGTGCTACCATATCTGTCATACCTATAGACGGCATAAAGCAAAAATTTAGAAAATACAATTGTTTTTTTTTGAATAGAAGAATATATTTAACCTTGTACATAACCAGGTTCTGGATGATAAATACAATAGGTCATAAGAATATTGAACAATTTTTGTCTTGATGAATTTTTTTTATTATCAAAAAATTTAACTGAACTATCTGTACGTGTTACATCTTTTTGTATTAAATTTTCCAATGTCATTATTTCTAATTCGTTTTTATTTTGCCAAGATTGTTTCATTCTAAATAATATTATTTATTTAATAATAATTGAAAAATTTTCTAACATACACATTATATTGTTCTTTAGCTTTTATTGAATATTGAGTTTTATCTTCATTTGTCATTGTTTCATTAAATACTCGAAATAAATAACACCAAACTATACTACGTATTGATTCTTCACAACCATTCTCATATATACGTTGTCGTAATAGTTGTTCATTTAATAAACGACCATTTGATGGATCTAACATTAGATGAAATTCTTTTTTTGTTAAGCATTTATTTGATAATGTATTAACTGTTCCATAAAACCAACTTGTTGCTTTTTTTAATAATGTTTCTTGTCGATGAGAAATTGATTTAATGGTAACTATAATACAATCATTTTCAATTTCAATTAATTCATAATTATCATTTATACCATTTTCATTAATACAATATTTATTATTATCATATTGATCAACAATAAATTCTACAATAGTTTCATCTGTATGATTCATAATACAACCATCAACATCAAAATCATCCGTAATTACAAAATTATTTTTAGTTTTTATTATAAAATTTGAATGTAAATTAAATAATCGATTAATTAAATGAACAAGAAATGCATGTGATAATAATGAAATATCAACAGATAATTTTTTTCGACATTGACAAATATTATATTTATTTACCTAAAAGAATTATTTAAAATTTTATTTAGAAATTTTTTTTGTTTATTTCTACCGATATAATAAATATAACAATATTTGGTACACGAATATTCTGTTGAACATTAAGTTTTGATGTACAACTTGATATAACCTATCATATACAAGATTTAGTTATTTTCATATTAATGTCTTAATGTAACGAACTTATAAAGATAAGAGTTCGTATGATTTAGTGAATATCCAAAAATACTGAAACATTCAACTTCCTCACTTCACTCTAGATAATAATATATTACCTCATCATTACATTGACATCCACAATTATCATTTGTGATCAGTAATGAATCTGATGAATGCATTTGAAAATCAATAGTTGACACCATTATCTACTGGAAGTCATATGTATTTTGTAAGAAACATATCTCTCAACTTTAAAAGCAAACAGGTGATACTTCTCTTATTGTCATTGTGACATAAGCTTATGAAACATGAACAGAGCGTATGAGCCTGTCAGTCACTGCTATCGTTTCGTTCTTTAGATTTCTCTTTTTTTTTGTTGATTTTAACGTCATCATCATTTTTTTTCAGCTGGCCATCCTACATTATTTCAAACTTATGTTTCTTGTATACACGTGAACATGTGCTTTCAACGTGTTTAGGTGTGAAGTTTATTATAGAAGAGAAAAAAAATCTCAAGACATCTGTTTGATATGCTTTTTTTACTATCTTATCATTTGTTTGGTGTTTGTCAAGGTAATAAAAGCAAAATAACAGCAGGTCATGGACTTGTCCTATTTCGTTGAAAAAACATAAATTTGAAAATAAGACATAAATCTTTTTTTATCCTGTCTAATGAATATCATGAATTGAATAAAATTTATTTATTGGAGATTGTTTATTTCGAAATATGATTCTTCTTCTTCTTTATTTGAATTCACGAAAATATAAATCAGTTTTAGATAGGATTATTGTGTTTCGAAGAGAGAATGTTTTCAGCTATCAGCAGCGTAGGAAACATTCTAATTATTCGATTTTGAAGTAATGATTTACTAGCAAAGATTTATAGATGCCAAACCATAATTGATTTTGTGTATATCTCAAAAACTAGATAAGTTCGAATAATCTTGTTGTCGTCAAATTATAGTTCATAATTGTTAGTATTGTAGTAAAAAGATTCCAGCTTAGTCTATTAATCTGTTTAGTTTTCATTGATGATACAAATTTTTTTAATCCATACCGAAAATTGTCAACAAAAAAAAAATGGCAAAAGACACTTTCTTTTTTCATGTGATGTTTAGCTAACTTGATCGTTCAACATATTATGGGAGGTCAGCTTTTCGGACCGGATCCAAAGTTCTCCCATTAATCCTCATAAAAAGTTTTATTTCTATGAATATTTGGTGCATTTCATAGTGCTTAGCAGCTGAGTATGGATGTGCGAATGGGTCTTCTCTTCACCACACCCACGCCCTGACAAGGAGAAACATTGTTAGCTAAAGCAGCCAAACAAAGTCGATATTATGTTGTTATTATTTCGACAAACATATTTCTTGTTCTGTATGTTTTACTGTTAAACTTATTACTTATCTGTAGCGTTTTGTGTTCTTTTTTTTTTCTTTGATAAAATAAGAGAAGATTGCAATAAAAATGAAATGAACTTGCACTCAATAATAAGAAGATCGACAAATTGGCAATATTTATGAAAATAAATTGATTAGTTGAAGGTAGATCAGAGACACGCACCATTTGGTAGTCCTATGGGCATTTCGCTTTTTACGTTGGCACTTATTGCATACAATTCATAATTATCTCAAAAGATCACGCCACTTCTAGCAATACCAAAATAGACTGCTCAGTATCATGTCGTTCTGCCGGGTCCTACAGACTGTGCTAACTGTTTATAGGATTTCGGCTTTCCAGGGATGCCAATGAGCAGAATTTGAGCCCAATACGAAAGTCCCGTATAACTTCAGGGCTGAGCCTAAAAGTCACTAGGAACTCTATCTCAGTCGTGTGGGTGTGGGTGTGATGAAAAGATATTCATCCATACCCATACCCACTTCAAATTGATAAGAAATATGTAAAGAGATGGGGAAAAAGGTCATAGGCACTTTTGATAGAATGATCTGAATTACCCCAAGTACGATAGTTCCGATTAGTTCGATATAGCTTTTGTCATTTTTGTTCTTGCTTTTTTTCCAGTACAGGATTTTCGATGATTATTTCGTCAATAGATAGAGAACACTTCAAACTACTTAGTTGTGATTCAAAAGTAACTTTTTTTCATAATTTAAAATGAATGACAACGAACAAAAACAAAATCAAATTTTTACTTTTTCCATCGCGAAAAATACTCCAGTTGACTTTATTACAGTATTGATTATATTAGTATGATTTAAAAAACTATTATGATTTCATTCATAATCAAAGTATATACACATCATATGCTGGTAATTCAATACATTTTAATAATATCGATGATCGTGTACAAAGTGAATGGGGCACAGTCCATGTCACATAAATGTAAAAGAGAAGAGCGAAATGCATAACGATCATTATTAATAAAAGTTTTATTTTAAATTCATCATCAATTTGCTGAATCTACATTAAAAAGGGCATGGGTATCACCCAGCCACACACTATCGAAGTGATCTTTTTGAATCGATCGAGAGTGAGAAATTTTCTATTGTGATTTGTTGATTTGGTGAGACATGATCAGTTCGTATTCGATCGGATCCGTGGAGAGATGAACGTTGAATTTTGTTTGATCATCATATTGAGTGTGAGTGTGGGGTGTGGGTGTGGGTATGGTTGAAAATTTAATTCTAGCGACTAGAAACGCCCACACCCACACTCACACCAACAGCCACCCACAACCACACCCACACCCACACCCACACCGCACACCCTCGCTTTTAAACGTATCATTCTATTCAGTTTTTTAGAGTTTGCGATAATTATATAATACTTAGTGTAAGAACTGAAGAAAATGAAAAAGATTCAACATGAAACAGTTACCATTGACCAAAAATAAGGATATCACATATATATGGATCATCTATATATATATATGATTGTACACTAGTTCTTTTTGTCAATATAGTCGTAGTTAGCCGCAATATATTTCATACTCCTTATTATGCATAATAAATGTGACAATTAGCTAACATTAAGAGACTTCTAGAAACAAAGAAAACAAATAACAGTCGAATATATTTTTATGTCGTTATCACTAGGGCGTAGGTAACAAGAGTACCTATGCTAACAGCGAAAACAACGTGTGCTGATGAATTTTTGAAGTAGAGTGCATGTTCCCAATTAGAGCATCAATGCAAAAGTTGCACCAAATTAGAGTGCATCAGTATAAATACATAACAGACTAGGCAAAGTTCAAACATCGTGTCATATTCGCTTATCAGCTTCAAAATTGAGCCGAATGTTCACTAGAGAACTTATTCTTCAGTTTTTTTCTAGCATTCTACAAAGATTCAGCTGAATATATTGCTTCATTGCTCAGATATAATCAAAACAATCTGCATCAATCCTATTAAAAAACGCTCTAAATAGATATAGTGTCCTAAATTAATGTGGACCTATACAAAATACATGTAAATCATCTTGTCTAACATAATTTCATCTTCGTCTGCTACCAAGTCTCAAAATGGACCCTTGGTCCTAAAACACAAGTTGTTCAGCTCAATTTTCTCTACAGTATATTAGCGATTCAGTTTGATTTGAAAGAGATCTCATTATTAATTCCACTTAGCTTTGCAACAGAATAATTGGTTGAACAGAACTCAATACATTGTCACTGACTATAAATCAATATAAAAAGAAAATTTCGCATTCATTAAGAACTAATGATGGAACACAGATTTTTTTTAGAAAGAGTTATTGAAGAACATATATTAATCTCAATTGAGGTTAAGGTATAAATGTCAATGAAGACAGAGCTATTGCTAATGCTGAGATGGTGTGCACTAGATATTGCGCTTTAAGAACATTTTAATATGAAATTCAAAGTCAAAGTCATTTTTTTTGATCTTTCATATTTAATGATTTATAGACTTGTATAACTGAGGAAGAATCAGAATTGTCAATCAAAGCCAAGCTTAATACTTTCATTGACAAAAATGCTAGTTTTTAAAATTATTCATTTTAATATTCACTCATTATATGAATAAATGACTTAATAGAATTCAGATGCGACTATCAATCATCAAGAGTAACTACTTGATAAGGAAATACAAGGGTGAAAAATGAAAAATGCTGTAGCTTTAGCTTTGATTGTAACGTTTAGATCAAAAGAAATTAAAGTGTCAAGTGAAATCTGCACTGTTATCTAAGCTGTGATCATGAGCAATAATTGGATGTAATGGACTGAATAGAGTTAGCTGATTTTTTTTATCTAACAAGTTTTCAATATCGGTAAGAAGCCAGCGTCCGTGACCTCTTTACCATATCGTGGTTTAGTGACTGAGTTTTTCTTTTTATTAAGAAAAGATGCCTTTGCAAGCTTTGTAAACAGCTTGGCAGAATTGATTAGACAGTCTAATACATGTTTGAATGGTGCTAATTAGAGTCCTACTCCGGCTGGATCGGATAGAATTATGAAAAAAATAGTTGAATTCGCGTGGGTGTGGTTTGGATGTACGTTTTATCTTCATCTTCCCCACAGTCACAGACACACACCCCACACCGCCACCCACACCTCGCAAAAACGGACCGTAAACGAGTCTGATCCTTGTATCATTGAAGGTTCTCTGTAATTGGCTAAGTAAACGTACTGTAATCTATATGTAAGTATGCCGTTAACATATGTTCGCATACGAAAATTTATGGATTGTCGTAAAGAATCCGTATTGTATCGATTTACGGACCGTTTAGTTCGACCTGGAAATACAAAGATCTTTTCTCAATAATTGGAAGTTTTGCGAGTGAAGTCGACAGTAACCATCTTCCTCTGATAAACAATAAAAGAAAAATTCGCCTTTAAAATATTCCGTACAAAAACAAAGTTGGCATGATCAGTAGAACAATATGTTTGAATAAAAACAACTTTGCCAAAAAACAGATCTCATCGAAGATGTTGAAAGGAATGCAATCTATCATTTTGATCGGATTAATAAAATATGTGAAAATTCTGTTGAAAAAAAGATACATTTCAATAAGTGTAATAGATTATATGTTGTTGAATTTAGATTATCTACAGAAAATCTTTTGACGATGGCCTTGCTTGGCAAACAATTTGAATAAAAAATTTGCAAATAAATAGAAGAATAGTCATCGCGGATCTTTTAAGCATAATTATCTATCTGAAAGAGACAGTCCAAAAGATTTGTTTCTATTTCCATAAACT